GGCGTTTTTTTCCTCGAAAGAAACTGTAAATTTTTAATTTTTGAACTTGTACCGGGAAAACACGAAAGTTGTGACGTCACAACTGTGTTTACATACCCTCATGCAAACATGGCTATCAACCAATCACAGCGTGCGTACTATTTAATTTATTTTATAAATGTGAATAGTGTAGTAGTATGGTTGCAGTAGTTTTGTATGTCAAATTTTCTTTTCGAGGATATCAACATTTGAAATATCAAAATACAAATGAGTAGATAACAACTGGTTTTGGGACTAGTTTGGACTGCGTCGGTGTTTTTTAGTTGAAACAAACGTGTTGTAGTAGATAATTTTATCACCGTAAATACGAAAGATAATAGACTGACGTTTCGGACGTTAGTCCTTCGTCGGAGTCAATGAGAGAAAGAGAATGATGGAGGGGTTTATATAGTGGYGTAGGGAGAAAACAAATCAACAAGAAAATAGCAAGTCGAAAAACAAAAGAGAACAAAAGGATCGAAAATAAGAGATGACGAGATAATGAGATGACGTAAATTCAAGACTACTTTATTTTACAAAAATGCTGCTGAGGAAATTACTGCTGTTTTTGGTTATTTGCAAATCATCCTTATAACTGAAATATATGGCTCTGTACACTTTTAGGTTTTTTCACTTCAGAACACTTTAATCACACGAATTTGAATTTACGCCCGGAATTTACGTCATCTCCGCATTAGCATATTGATATTTCAAATGTTTGAACAGAGAAGACCACATACAAAACTACTGCAACCACACTACTACACTGTTCACATATAAATGATTTTGAAAATAAGAGTGACAAAATGCTTTGTTCAGTGACTTCAAAGTTCGAGAGCTGCAAAACTGCATAATATTAGCCTCATTAACTGTTTACCCAGAACACCATTCGATCTTAGTTTTGATGATTCAACCTTTTCGAGTCGAAGTTTATTTTTCCTTCAATTTGGTGAATACAGACAACAGACTCGCCTTTATGAAATCCATCTGTTATGTATGCCAATACATATAGYGAATGTCGATATATGGTCGCTTTGGATCCAACTGCCGTAAATAGAAGACACATGAAATCCTTTGCTTTATCTTGGTTCCTTGAATCGACTATCCATTCGTACGTTACTGTCTAGGACTCAGATATATACAGAAGACAGAGTATAAATATGATTGTCGCAAAAAACCATCATTTGTCGTCGTTATCCCAAGACCGTTACGGCACGGACGTTTACACCAATAAGAACGATATCTACTATTTACATGGACTATGATACAAGTTAAACTTTCGTTAGAAAAATTTTGAAAACTATATTGGTTTTTTTATGCAGTCTTTTGTCTTTTACGAGGAGGGCCTATGCAAGGGGTCTGAGTAGAAGCTAAAAATGACTTGAATATTTCAGCGATTAGATGAGCCTGGTCGCACAGCAGAGTTTTCCAACCAGTAGATTCCATGACTTCTGCAGCATGACTGGACAAAATAGATTAAACAAAAAAAAGTATTTAGTGTAAGTTACGGCATTTATACTGGGTTTCAATCAGCTGAGCAAAAATCTTTGAATCTCATTATATACTCCAAATGGTGGTCAAACACTGACAACCATGGCTGCCAGCAAGATAGAATTGAAAAGATAGTATTCGCTGACAGGTGACGCGAAGTAAACAGTTATATCGAGGATAACAAAAAAACAAAAAAAAAAACAAAACAAAAAAAACAAAAACAAAAACAAAAAAACAAAAAAACAAA